CTGGGCCCCTTTATAAGGGTGACTGGGCCCCTTTATTAAGGGCGACTGGGCCCCTTTATAAGGGTGACTGGGCCCCTTTTATTAAGGGTGATCCTTTAATTTTTCCCTTGGGCAGGATTATATTTGGATTCTCGTGTTTCCATTGAATGTTTTAAGTATCTGTTTCTTGTCTGTTGCATTTAGAAGCAGATGAATTTCAAAAAATTATGTTTCTAAGAAGAAAAAGGATTATTTTCGTTCTAATTAAAGTCATCTAAATGGTGTTTTACCTCCTGTTAGAAATGACCATGGTTTATTCATATCTCCTTCATGTCTTAAAGTTTGATGTCCATTTACCACCAACGTCCACCTCTCCTTTTGGTATTATGCGTGCATAAAGTCATGTGCTTCTCTGTCAGCGCAGATGCCCAGGGCCAATCCATGGGTGTAAGTCGGCTGGATGTGTTTTACAGAAGACTTCTCCTCACCAAGCTTTTCATCGGTGGATGGGGGAAGCCTGAAGACCTGAAAAGGTAAGTTGGTTCTGTTCCTGCTGTGGATTGGATCATCTTCTGTTCTTGGACCAATAACCTTCCCAAAGCGTGTAAAGGATATTATCTGGATCCAATCTTTGAATTGTTTTTCTATGTTAAAAAACTGTTTTGTGACCAGTTTTTCCCTCAGCCGCTGATATTGCTCCCCCTCCATTAGTGTAGCATCTGGCTGGGAGGGAAGGCATCATCTATGCTGGAGATCCGGGCCAATAGAATCTGCTTACATTTGGACCCATTTCTGACATCACAGTATCTGGTCGTAACATGCCCAGGCAGACATGAATAGGTTTTCTAAGCCTCTAATGGACCTAAAGGCGTCATCAGCTTCCTGGTTAGAGAGGCAGAGCTCCGTCCAATGAGAGCTAAAATAGCTCAGAGAACAGTTTGCCTTTTTTAGGCGAGTCTGGTTGGGTTGTTTTATAGCCAGCGTCGGAGAGTGCTCCAGCTGCGATGGGAAGAGTTTCAGATAATAGATTAATCTAAAAAAAAACAGAGGAATGAAAGAGTGAAGAGGAGAACCAGAAGTGAGCCAGGGTTAGAGATAAAAGCATAGAATGTGTTCTCTGGATATCTAGGATCACAGCCAGGTCTGCCCCCTCTGATCTCCAGGCTCATTCTCTGTCTGATAGACAATAAGGGGGGGGACGCCGTGGGTCACCACAACCGTTTTATGTACTAAGAATACAGTCTAGAAATCCACTTGATTGGAACTGATTTTAAACTGGAAATGAAGTGTTTTTGTTTCAGCATATGGTTTTCATCACGAGGACAGTTTTTATGTGCAGAGAATCCAGTTCTGGAATTGGAGCAAAAGAACTGCCCTCTGATTGCTAACTCACCCGTCTTCTTGGACCTCAGTGGTCCTGCTAGTGTGACTGCAGTCACAGAAAAAGGGGCTCAAAACATGTGGGAGGAGAGGTGGGATGTCAAAGCATTTGGGTTTGGAACTGGTTTCCTGAACCCGAATCCTAGAGAGAGACTGAACCTTTAGTCTAGGACTCTCTTAGTCCAGAGTCATCAAAAGATCAGGAACCGTTTGTCTTTATGAAACCAGATAGAAATCTGCAGAGACTCTCGGCTCTGAACAAACAAAGAAGCATCCATAGACGACATACCCAGAGAGAACTGAACATCCTCAAACATCCTTAAACAACAGGAAATGCCAGAATATTCCCAGAAATATAGCATCTCCATAAAATGCAGCTGGTTCCAAAACAGATGAAATTAGCTGATGGTCATCTGATTCTTAGTGTTCTCTGTTTATTTGACCCATTTTAAGCACAAGCTGCAACCTTGCTGTCATGACAACCTTCCAGAAGGACCAGTATTCGTGCACCAGTTAGGCCAGTGTACCACGGTGGCCAGACAGAACACCTCCTTCACTGCTTCCCCTGATTTCAAACATTCATTCTACTCATTTTACATTTTAGAATCTTTGAGTTTCGAAAGATTGTTGGAGACAGAGAGAAGTGCAAAACACTGGTTCCTGTGGACTATCCAGTTTACATCACCAAGGTTTGTTGGTTTTCCTCAACAATGAGCCGAGTGTTTTTGTCATTCTCCCTTCATTCTTGTTCTACGTTGTGTCCAGACAGAGGAGCTTGCTGACTGTCGCATCCATGATGGTTTCTTCATCTCTCCACTGGAGCAGCTGGTTCCAGGAATCCTGCCCCCAGAGGCAGTGAAAGCCAGGTTTGTTTGATAGTGATGAGTGACCAGTGATCTTTAGAGGTTGTCAAAGATAACTAACAACTTGTTCTTCTTCAGCTTTATTCCAAGTTTTTTTGAGTCTGCTTTTCATGGCAGCTTTCTTTTTATCAAATACAATTGTACCCAAGACATATAAATAAAATACAGGATAAGCCCCTGTGTTATTCCAGATGGATTCATGTCAATTCACCATATGATTTTCTCTAACCCCAACCTAACTATCTCTAACCCCAACTTAACCATCTCTAGCCTTAACCTAACCATCAGTAACCCCAACCTAACCATCTCTAACCCCAACCTAACCATCTCTAACCCCAACATAGCCGTCTCTAACCCTAACATAGCCATCTCTAGCCCCAACCTAACCATCTCTAACCCCAACCTAGCCATCTCTAACCCTAACATAACCATCTTTAACCCCACCCTAACCATCTCTAACCCCAACCTAACCATCTCCAACCCCAACATAGCCGTCTCTAACCCTAACATAGCCATCTCTAGCCCCAACCTAACCATCTTTAACCCCAACCTAACCATATCTAACCCTAACATAACCATCTTTAGCCCCAACCTAACCATCTTTAACGCCAACCTAACCATATCTAACCCCAACCTAACCACCTCTAACCCCAACCTAACCACCTCTAACCCCAACCTAACCATCTCTAACCCCAACCTAGCCATCTCTAACCCTAACATAACCATCTTTAGCCCCAACCTAACCATCTTTAACCCCAACCTGACCATATCTAACCCCAACCTAACCACCTCTAACCCCAACTTAACCATCTCTAACCCCAACCTAGCCATCTCTAACCCTAACTTAACCATCTCTAACCCCAACCTAACCATCTCTAA